TCCAAACATGATCTGGAGGTTCTGGCCTTAAAAAATGCTTCAGCTCCTTTTGCCTAGGCCATAAATCCTGCCTATCTTCATTAAGATCAACTTCCTTCCTGTCTACGATAACACAACATCCCTTGAGTTGTTTGGATTAGAAAGAGAGAGAGACTCTATATAATACTTTGTTGCTGGAATACTGGAAAGTATGATTAGTTAACACAAGGGACAGGCTGGGACAATCACTTCAGTGTATTTAAAACTTAAATCTTTGGGTTTAATTGGGTCCTGAGCTTTGCCCTTCGCATGGTTCCCCGTTCATCAGCTTGCTTTGTGAGTTGTTATTACGGTCATTCCTAGTAATAGATCAGTTGTCTAGCGAGAAGAACCCCATAATCTCACCTATTTCTCCCTTTCTGAACTCTGCCTTGTTTTCTTTCACCAACAGCAAGGCTGGATAAATAAATCTTTAACCACACCCAGGCAGTGCAACCAGTATTTTGATACCTATGTTGCTCAACTAGTCTGGCATCGTTTTTTTTTTTTTTAATGGAGATGTGATTGCAAGAGCATATAACAGAATGGGGCCCAGTTTGCATAGAATTGATTGATTGATTGATTGATTGATTGATTATGTGCAATCAAGTCAGTGTCGACTCTTAGCGACCACTGTCAGCCCTGTGAGGTAGTCTAGACTCGAACACCAAAGTCATGAATACTAAAGAGAAGGGATGAAATAATCACATATACACTCTTACACACCACATATAAAACTTTAAAATTGCCCTGAGACTTTTGGGACACCCTACAGAGTGTGTGTATGAGTGTATCCATTCATAGATACAGATACAGATATATACGCACATACATACATGCATACATGCGCGTAGACATAATTACACATACATACATAGACACACCCACACACACAAACATAGGGTATGCCAAAGGTCAGGCCCCATAGGCCAATCCCAATATGTTTTATTAATTTTTTTTTTCCGAGAGAAAATGTTGCCATACATAGGAACGTTCAAAAGACATGGATCAAATGAGTAGGGAAGTGTTGAGAAGAAAATGGCAACCAGCACGGACATTTAATATAATTTATATAATACATTGTCTGTGGAGCCTGACATTTGGTACACCATATATGTGAGTGTGTGTGTGTGAGAGACAGAAAATGTGTGTGTGTGTGTATCCATCCATCCATCCATCCATCCATCCATCCATCCATCCATCCATCCCTCTCTCTCTCTCTCTCTC